GGGAACAATGGGAACAATGGGAACAATGGGAACAATGGGAACAATGGGAACAATGGGAACAATGGGAACAATGGGAACAATGGGAACAATGGGAATAATGGTGACAATAGGAACAATGCGAATAATGATTTCCACAAGGCGTATCTGGTGAAAATTCAGGCCAAAATACAGTCCGGCTCCCTGAAAATCTCCAGACTTTTGAAAATCTCTAGAATGCCAAAATAAGTTCGAACATCTTTCTGGTGATGCAGAGCTGTCGATTTAGATTTTGGTCCAAGAACTGATCCAATCTCAGTCTCGTGCCAGCAGAAGCGGATTCTTGAATTCTATACAGTGGACAGATTGAACTTTTGATGTTTCAGCTTCTTCCTACACGAAATAAATTTCTGGTAGCGTATTGGATCGATCACAGCTCTGGGGTAGACGAAATGCAACTTTTAGCAACCACAGAGATCAAGAGAGCACTTAGCGGAAATATTCTGTATCTAGCACTCGGTGTTAGATATCTTTACAAAGCCCGGAGACGGCCTGTCTTGAAGTATTGTTTGGTATTGATGTATCTCAGAATCCTTTCATTTACTGGATTGACACTCGACAAAACATTAGTTGGTGGCTTGAAGGCAGAGGCGTTTGATTGTGGCTGCAGACTTTCCCGAGCTCAACAAGGTAAGCCACCTTTTGCCATTGGATCCTCTCTCGACCTTATTGGAGCATTTCGTAGCCGATTTGCCAATACTCGCTGGCTGTGATCTCCATCCGCAGCAGGCTTGCAGCCCTTTTCGAACCTCTCAAGGGACATCATACATGCAGAATGTAATCAAAGCCGTTCCTTCGCTTGAATGACTTCTGTGGACGATACCTGAAATCTTGTGGACAGTGAGACTATGCCACCAAGTCAGGGCACATGCACTTTGATAGAACTTGCTTGTTCTGCTTGTTCTGGTCTTGAGACAAAGAGGCAGTAGCAGCTTTGCCAGGACACAGAGTCTGCCAGAACAAGAGACAGCTCTTCAGAGATCGTCACGCTGGGTTGAACTGTTCTCGTATGGTCTTCAGACAGACTTTTGTGTACTGGAGATCTGCATTTGTCTCAGCTCAGGAAACACTCGGTTGACGCTACACCTACCCCCTCCCCCCAGCAACAGAAAGCGTTCATGGCACGCCGATAAGAATGCTGAAGGGGATACTAGAGTTGATGTTGTTGCTCTTATCGCCCTTGTCGGTTGGCTCTAGACATGTCATTGTTGCTGCTCGAAGGTAGCTTTTACCGTCAGTCTTAAGCCTAAAACTAAACCCAAATTTTATCTTGCTCTAACCTAAATCTGATCAACCCCGCCACGGGTCGCCAAGGCCTGACTTGGCACTCAACTTCGGTGTCCGGTGGGCCTCGCATTGGCTTCGGCGGCTATCTTCCATCCGCTTAAGTTCAAGTCGGATGGCAGCGTTGGCAATCTGGACTGCGACGCCAACGCTGCCTTTCAGGTTGACTTCATCCGTTGTCCGTCTTTCGGGAAGAGCCTCGCCGACGCCGCATACACCGACGTTTGCGACTCGAATCAATTTGAACTTCACCTGAGGTGGACCGCGAGCAAGACGGACTTGCTGAAGAGTGTCTTGGTCATTGAAGGCAAGGCGCTGCAGATGATATCCCTGCCAATCACCGTATTCGCCAACTTCATGCGCGTTTCTATCATTCAGCCTTGCTGCAATAAACAGGCGCTACGTACTACCAACATTGATGCATCGGACCTGATTTTACTTTTGACACGGTCGCCGTCACGCTCTCGCCGCCCGTTAGGTCACCAAGGGAAAGGCGCTCGGCTTTGTCTTTTCCCAGAAACCCGTTCTGGCACTTCCTTACTGCCAGTCCAGCTTTAGCCCGACGCTCGGTAAAAGTTGTTCGACCTCTTCCAGCGCGGCTCGGGCTAAGATTCGCTCCTTGGCCAGCGAAGTGAGCGTAGTGTCATCTAGGAGCACGTTGGCAAGTCTTAGGGTTACTACGGACTGCCCAGAAAAGGCAACCGGGGTTAGGCAAGGAGACCTAGACCGTTCGAAAGAGCAGATTGAGGCCTATGCGGATCATTAGGACCAAAAAACCAGGGGTTGGCGGATTGTAGGAGCTGTCCCAAGAGCAAAAATAAAAAAAGCATCTATGTCTAAGTAAAGTACGTGAAAAAAGACTAACCCTTGGACAGAATTTTACACAGCTAGATAGAGCAGAGAAATACGATTCCATTGGTACAAACAGCATGGTTGTAACATGCCTGATGGCTGAGAACGAGGCAAATGACCTAATTTTAAAGGACAAGCATGTCAGTGACAAAAAAATCAAAGTTGGGGATGGCGTAGTGGTAGAGCCACGCGTCCTTATCTATCAGCACGTGCAGAAATCTGAAAAACCTGGGTCTGGCCCCACACCACGATCTCAATCAGCATATCAGCATCATCAGCGCATCAACATGGAAGAAGAGCTGGATGTGGACCGCTGGTGCACCACCATGTACCCCCACCAGCTTCTGGAGACAATTGGACGCCCCAGCACAACCTTTGTGCTTGCCAACCATGCCCCCCAGATCCAAGACAACCCCAAGTACAAGGATTGGATGTATGTGGCACGCTCCTCTCTCTATCTGCTTGTCCCACCATCCCACAAAGCATACATCATCCGGCAGCTACACAACCGGCTGTTTGTGATCCTAGCAAGCAAGTACCCACGGACATTGACGCAAGGACAGCACACCATCACGCTATCCATGCTGGTGGAAGTGCTTGAGGAAAGCCATTGCCATTCTGTGCGGGTGCAGGCCCATGGGATGAAACATC